CAAATTTCATAATTAGCGTTGCATGGTCTTCGGCGGCTACTGTATATAAATGTGCATTTAAAGCAAGTTAGTGTTGTTGTGAGAGCTTTGGTCTTAAACTAAGTAGCCCTGGTTCGAATCCGGGTGTACAATCCAAGACTGGGTTTTCATTAACTGCAGAGAATTAAAAAAAATAGAGCAAACAAAAATAGGAAACAGTAGATAATATTATTATAAAAGGCTACCATGTAGCAACCATAAAGCGTGCGATAATTGAAAAATCAATAAAAATCAATTTTTGACAAATCAGAGGTAACTGAATAAACCGTCTGTGAGAAAATCTGAGCAGGTCAGTAGCCAATAGAAAATACGGACAATAGAAAGCAAGAAATGTGAAACTGAGACCCTCAAATTACCACAATTATTTGAGTTATATTGGCGTGGTGTTACTTGTAATACATTATTACTCTGATCGGGCCACCGTTGTGGTTCAGTGCTTCTACGGCGAGGCCCGTTGTAAGAGCACAGCCATTGCGACTACTTGCTTTTTCACGACAGTGTCCTGTCCTGATCTGTTCTGGCTGGCATAATTAAATCCAGCCGTTCCATTTGTTTCATTTTGCATACTGTCATGCGCAATCGAGAAGTGTCACTGAAAAAATCTTGGGAACCGGAACTGGTCAATTCTGAACAAGAATCATGGTAGACAGCAGCTAGGGAACGAAAGTGATTTAGCAACTGGGAGCATTCACTGTGTTCGCAGTCTAGTCACCGCAACTAGGTCTCTTAGGCATTATTCCTGATTTTCAATTAGTTTGGCGTTTTTACCTTTGATTTTAGAAGCTGTTAAATTTCTCGTGGCTGATCCAAAGCGTATGGATCGTAAAGTTTTCTGTTGTTAGCTCGCAGTTTGGTATTGATCACCCTTAAGCAGCATGTTGGTTTTCTTACAGATCATCGCCTCGCAGCCTGGCGGTGGATTCGCGTTCCTCCAAAAGAAATTTGAGACGTATAATGACAGAATCTGGTAGGTATCACTTTTTGACTTTTTGTCTCGGTAATTCCATTTGAACCCTACCGTAATTTTAATAAATAACTAAACCTACTTATTTCTTTACAGTAGCGCACATGTATTTTTATGCACGAAACTTTGTAGCCCAATGCTCGTCTACCATCCGCCTAAGCTGACGGCGATCCGAAGTGTAGAGACACGCACTTGGGTCATAGGCAATGTCAAAAAAGGCGTTCAGTCACAGGAAGATGGCGGTGAACCAAGCTGCGATTACTACATGGCAGTATGTTTGGCTGATGGTACCGTGCTGTTGCTGGATGCGGATTTGGAGAAGAACGAGGTGCTCTGGTGTGCACAACTGCAAATCCAAGGCGAATTGTTTGGCCTCTCAACACTCAACTTCACGGTACGTTCGCATTTGCATCAAATACCCAAACTAGAACGAAAACAGAATGTTTTGCATGTTTATTTAACTCGATTACTCTGAACCGTGCTCAGTAACTTTCGTTGCACTTTGCGAAATCTCAAAGAAAGTAGATCGGAATCCTTTTTTTTCTCACAGAGTGAAGATACAGAGGATGTGTCAGTGTGCTGCTGGGACGGTTCTACGTACATTTTCAACTACCGGAAGGACATTCTGCGCTTTCTGGTGGGGCAGTCCTGCCAAGCATTTACCTCAGGCAAGTACGCTGTAAGACGAGGGCACAACGAGCCGGTGTTAGTGTATGCCACCTGCGAGAGCTCACTGCTCATTTACTACAACCTCAATGTGGACTCCATTCCCATCTATTCGCTGACACAAAAGATATCTCTGAGGCCTAGTCTTCTGAAGAAGTTGGAGGATTTAGGTGTGAATAGTAAGCATTTGTCTTGATTCGAACTCTGAAAACCTATTCGTCACTGGGACATCATGGTAATACTACTACTACTACTTCTACTACTGCCGATACTACTACTAATACTACTACTACTACTACTACTACT